TACTTTTTTAGACTATAACACAGACTAAACAAATAGTACGAGAGCTCTTTGATATATCTTTTACTATGCTCTCTAGAACAGCATGCGGCCCGTCTGGCTGCCGGTAAACCTTGCGTTCCCTACTACGCATTGAAAGAAGATCCTATATTTTTATTAGTCCTTTAAATTCTAGTATTGAATATAAACCGACCGAGTCTCCATTCCATAGCTCAGCGCGTAGAGGTTCCGCCTATCAAGCGAGAAGTCGGAGTTCGAATCCGGGTCAGGGCAAAAACTTTTTATTTTATTTTCATTTATATTCTGATAGTAAAGTATTAAATATTTGTTTGTTTTTTTTTGAATCACCAGAATTATTTAATACTTTACTATCAGAATATAAACGAAAATAACATAAAAAAGTCTTTACCCTGACCCGGATTCGAACTCTGAATGCTGGGCTCGTAGTCGGCTCGTAGTTCAATACTAGAATTTATAGGACTAAATTAAAAAATAATATAGGATCTTCTTCCGATGCGCAGTAGTGAACGCAACGGGTATCGGCAGCCAGACGGGCCGCATGCTGTTCCAGAGAGCATAGTAAAAGATATATCCAAGATCCAGACGTCTTACAATACTTTCTCGAAAACGTTGCTAGCTCTTAGACTATAAGCTGAATCTGCTAGTTGCTAGTTTTAAATAAAGGATCAATAAATTAATGAATTAAATATAATTTAAAAAAAGAAGAAAGAAGTACGTATTATATGAAGAAATTCCGGATTTATTTTAAAAAAGAAAGCAAGGGACGAAGTGCGATTGAACCCAGACCGATATCAAAATTCCACAGGCAGCCGGGAAGGCAATGTCTCCCGTTTGATTTCGCTTCCAGAGCTCTGGAGAAATGCGAGCGCTGCAATTGGAAATAACTTTCATTCCGGTAGAGAAAAGGCAGATTTATTAAACTGGATCGGGCCTCATACATCGTATTACTTTCCGATTGATACGCTAAATTACAAAAAGTTAAATTCCAATTTATACAACTCTGCTTTTGTGCGACATATTCTGTTTAAAACGACATGCCTATTAGTTACAGAACGTTTTTATTTTTTCGTTTCAGGATAGTATTGGTACGGTTAAAATGGCAGACTTAAATTCCGGTTATTAAAGTACCGTTATAATTTTATCCAAAACGTGTAAAAATATAATGTAGGGTAGAGTCAATAAATTTTTGGTTTTGATTTACTTTGTCAATAAAGGTTTATACCGGGTACGTCTCAAAAGTAGCTCACCCCTATAACTTTTTTATTTTTTCAGATAAAAAAAAACTAGATTTGATATGTTAGTATATGACATAAATTAGGATTGATTGACGTATTCAATTGTTTTTGGTCACTTCCTGTTTCACCGGAAATGACTACATCTTTTGATTTTTAAATGGTACCCTCGGTATTTTTTTACTTTATTCGATAGAAAATGACATTCTGAATAGAATGACATATCATATGTCAATTTATGATATTTTCGCTTAATAAAAAATTGTATTTTAAAACTCAATCTAGAATACCATGGATTAGATACCAATCTAGAATACTACAAAACACTAATTATGAATCACAAAGCCTTTTAAAAATAGATTTGATCGTCTAATGTTTTTAGTGTCTTGTCCTGGCCAGTTAGAAAATGCCAAAATCGTATTTTTAATCATATCTCAATTTTTTCAAATGGAACGAGGGTGGCTCATTAGCACATTTAGAAAAAGCATTTTTTTACGAATAATTTGATAAAACACACTTGGTATTTTGAGTCAAATTGTCGTTATGAACCGCATGTTACAATTTCAAATAAACTATATGCCAAAAAGTCAAATGTTGACATATGATATATGTCATTCTATTTAAAATGTCATTCTCTATCGAATAAAGCTTTGAATAAGAAGACTAAGGAAGGAGCATATCAAAAATCTTAGGTACACCGCGATGGGCCTCAAATATGGCCGACTTAAATTCCGGTTTATCAGTGTCGTTCTAATTTTATTTAAAAAATGTAAAACTATGATGTAGGGTAGACTCAATAATTTGTTGTTTTATGTTACGTTGCGAATAAATGTTGGTAGTTATTAAAATTGTTATAAAATATAATTCCTAATAAAAATAGATAAAGGTATAATAAGTATTTATTAACACAAACATCCGATACGCTACTGAAGCTTGAAATAAGTCAAATTAACGTATCTAAATTCTTTGACATCTAATCTTTGACAAATGTAAATAAAAAGCTAAAAATGCAAGAAAAATATATAATTTAGTTAATTTAAGTGAATTTCCTAAATAATCGGTTTACTACACGTATGTATATTATATAGTCACTTACTAGCGAAAAGTTGTTTCACTCAATTTTTGCCGAGATCTACCGCACGCTAAACAACCAACTATTTTAGAGTCTTTTTCGATAAATCGCGATAGTGTCACTGTTAATTTATGTTCTGCCACAATTTCCATCTAGATTTACTACCTTTATACAACTATCAGTAGTAGAATAAATAATAAATAACATAAAATAAGCTCCGTAAAGACTGACAAATCAACAAAATTTCAAATCAAATTCAAATGTGTCAAATGAATCGTCAAACAGAACTGTCAAGGATCCCCACCCTAGAGAGCTTTTATGGTGGCTTTTCCGCCCACCATGCATGAATACATGGATACATTATGCTCCATCCTTAGTCTTCTTATTCAAAGGAATAAAGTAAAAAATACCGAGTGCCATTTAATCAAAAGTTGCTAGTCATTTCGGAACCAGGAAGTGACCGAAAACAATTGAATACGTCAATCAATCCCAATTTATGTCATATACTAACATACCAAATATCGTTGTTTTATCTGAAAAAATAAAAAAGTTATAGGGGGTGAGCCACTTTTGAGACGCACCCGGTATAGTTTTTCCCGAACAACTTTTTTGCTCATTTTGACATCGTGTATATACCGTGACCTATAGTAATTCTCGATATGTGATTCTCGATTTTTTTTGTAGTTTTGAATTATACCGAAACATTACGCATCATATATACAGGGTCCGGCAATAGTGCGTCGGGCATCTGTAGCTCCTAGAATAAAAAACTTGAGAATTTTGTTTAAGGGCAAACCTAAAGTATGTATAAGGATGTATTTCAGGAAAATATTTTAACTTATATAGGGTGACTCGAAAAAGTGTGAATGGATCGAGATGATTTTTTTAATGGAACACCCTGTATATTGTTGCATTTTTTGGCTTCCTTGCAGGTCACTTTACATAATCCTAAGATATGAGTAAATATATTTCGATAGTTTCAGAGATATTAATAAATAAATAAAAAATATATATTTTTCAACCCTTCTTAAAAAAAATATTAAAAATACAAGAGCTGTTCTGAAATCAAAACTATATTAGATATTTATTTTAGATGGTCTGTTCTTATTTTGCTATAAATATGGTAATCGTAAATCATACAGGGTGTTCAATATTTTACGCCAAACTTTCAAAAATATAAAATAATTTTTCTTTATTTTTTTAAATGGAACACCCTGTATATTATTTTTTTATTTGATTGAGAATTAAAAAATGAACATTTTTTGTATTTAAAGTATTTCAAAATTTTTAATAGTTTTCCGGATACACGCAGTATTATTTCATATGGCGCTTTCAATGGTAAAATACGAGAGAAAAATCATTGGGTGGCTTTGATAAAAATTTACTGTGGAAATGCCGTATGAAATACAAAACCGGGAATATCTGCAAAATTGTTAAAAATTTTGAACTACTCTAAATGCAAAAAATGTTCATTTTTTAATTCTCCATCTATTGAAAAAATAATATACAGGGTGTTCCATTTAAAAAAACAAAGAAAAATTACTTTATATTTTAGAAAGTTTGGCGTAGAATTTTGAACATCCTATATGATTCACGATTTCCATATTTATAGTAAAGTAAGGACAGACCATCTAAAGTAAATATCTAATATAGTTTTGATTTCAGGACAGTTCTTGTATTATTAATAATTTTTTTAAGAAAGGCTAAAAAATATATAATTTTTATTTGTTTATTAATATCTCTGAAATTATCGAAATATATTTACTCATGTCTTAGGATTATGTAAAGTAATCTAACAGGAAGCCAAAAATGCAATAATATACAGGGTGTTCAATTTAAAAAAAATCATCTCGATCCACTCGCACTTTTTTGAGCCACCCTATAGAAGTTAAAATATTTTCCTAAAATACATCCTAGTACATACTTTAAGTTTGCACTTAAAGAAAATTCCCAAGTTTTTTATTTTAGGAGCTACAGTTGCCCGACGCACTATTGCCGGACCCTGCATGTGGCTACAAACGTTTTGGAATAAGTTACAAAGTTGATTTTGAAACACATTTTTTTTTAATTTTTATGTATTCGTATTAGAAGTATTTTAAAAAATTCAGTATTAATACACTTAATTTTGAGTTATCATAAGCCAATTGTATATAACAATCTCTAAATAAACATACAAAAATAATTGTTCAAACGATCTGACTAGTTCTTGAATTAATCATTTTTAAATTTATTCAAACCTGAATAGATTTTCATACAATGGAGACTGGTAATACTAGATTTTAGTGATAATTTTATTCCTAATCTCTTCATAACATTTTGTTATTCCGCATGTATGACTACATTAATCTTATTTTTATTCAAATTAATGCTATTGGTTGATAGGATAAAATATGATCATTAGTATTATACAAAATATAATATTCCTTGTTATTTTAAGTGGTAAATTTGATATTTCAAAAGACCATAAAAACGCGATCTTTTCTCAATTACAAGCATCCCGCTGTTATAAGAAAGAGATGATAATTTTAGGTATATTAAAATATTTTTTCATTAAAAAATAGCGGAGGAGTTATTTTATGAGACACTTAATTTTAAGAGTAGTCTTTTTATTACATTGGTATATAATTATTTTTAGGGCACTTTAACAAGTAAGAAAGTTACTAAATCAATAGTAATACAAGATACTTACCTACTAGAATTATGTTGGCTTTGGCTCGACACCTTTTGAGTTCTGGTGCCCATGTCAGGGAAATGTTTTCAAAAGAATTCCTTTCTGTCGTCGAATAACATAGTAGGAAAGCGTCTGCCTGGAAAATAAAAATACAATCTCTATACATTTCCCCTTAGACAAATATCTATAGGTACAGCTGGTTCCAATAAAATTGAGTACGATATAAAACATATTTTTATTATTTCGGGCAGTATATATTCTATGATACCAGTCCTCCATTTCTCTATTCATGTCATGCTGACGTTCTGAAAAATTTATTTGCCACTTTGTCAAAAGCAAAGTTGTTTTATACAATGTCACAATAACCTTAACATATATAGTTGGCGCCGGTCGGACGTGAAAGACGGTTGAGCGTAAAAAAATCCTTTTTCTGATATAGAATTTAATTCAGGTTCCAATTTCCCATTGTTGTTAGTTCGTACTTGTTTTTGGTGAGTGTTTTCCATTTTATTAAGTAGTTTTAGTTTTTGCTTATATAATCCTAGCCTTAAAATCCTGCTGACCCTTCTGATCGTTCCTGATCCTATGCTAAATGGGAAGAGGGGGCCTGAGTCCTCCTAATGATTTCGTTCGAAAATTAGCCCATCTTTATCGCCCCAAAATTACAATTTAATTTGAGCTTTTCAGGGTACATGTCAAGAAATGCCGTAAATGTCATTAAGCACCTGGAAGGGCTTTATGGAATTAGAAATAGAGATTTATAGATGATGTTGAGAAGTACAGCAAATTTCTCAATGTTTTTTTAATATTAGGAAATATACAAATAAAATTTCAAGTATGATATTTGCCTTTCCCTTCCTCGCAGTTATCCAAGGTGAACGTTCCCTTCATCCGATGAATGTTGGAAAATATTTATTTGAAAACAAAATTGAAATTAAAAAATCAGTAAGGGGAGAGATGAACATATTTTAATACTCTGAACAAGCTAATTCATTTGTAATAATAAAGAAATTTTAAATAAAGTGAATTAATTACTATTCCTCCAGGATGATGATCACTTGTAGAGGTGTAGTGTGGAACATAGGTGATGATATATATGAAGAAGATATTATTAATTATGGACTAGGTATAAGGGAGTAAATTCAGAATCAAAATTTTAAATGCCCGTAAATTTATAAAAGAATCTCGAAATGAAGATACCATGACAAGGAAAAGGACTAATTCCTTCAGTATTATTACATTTAAAAGGTAATCAAGTTCCTTTAGTTTGGAATTGTTCAATGTTTTACGCGAAATTCATACTTATAAAATTCCAGTAATTATATGTCATAATTGCTACAGATTTAGGACAAATTCTGCAATGTAGGAGTAGGAAAAGATGTATTAATGTGATACTCATGAAGATGATGATAGATGTTCTTTAATCAATTAGAAATTAAATGTATTAATTGTAAAGAAAACATTATCCACTAACAAGGAATGCAAAAAGAATTTAAAGGCAATTTATGATTAATGATGCGATGGCTAAGCATAACATATCTTTTGAAGCAAATAAATTATTTCAAGGAACACGTTTCTCCGATAGTCTTTTCCCGAGACTTTAGTTAATTTGTCTGTCCCTAGATCTGTAAAGAAGCATCATTATATTTCTACCTTAAAGAAAAGTAGACCTCGTTCTCCCGTTTCACAGAGGATAAAATAATATCTTATAGACATCCTTTTCAGTTCGGCTAGATTATCATCCAGTCAATTTTAAATAATTTATCACAATCTGAAAATAAATCCAAAATTGATGAAAATATAGATGCATGGAGGTTGGAGAGTCATCCAATTTTAGTTTAGAATCCTCTAGCCAAAATATATTTCAGTCTCAAGAAAGTTTGTAGATAGTTCAAGTTTAGAAAGTTGATAAATGATCTAAATGTTAAAACTAAAGATAAACATATTACAAAGAAGTCAAAGAGCCATATAGCTTTATTTTTAAATTCTTACATGTTATATTTACTTTATTGACAGTTTACTCTTATTTATGTCCAGTCAGGTTTGTTATTTTTATAATGTTTAATGTTATATATGATTATTATTTATGGAATATTAGAAGTGTTTTGTCTAACAGAGATACCTTAATGAATATCATAGAGATTTTAGTCCTGATATTATTGGATTAAATGAGACATGGCTAAATAGAAATAATTCGTTTAATATTTTGGGTTATGTTTGCTTGAGGCAAATGAGATGATGGAAAAAGGTGGCATTGCCTTTTTAATCAGGATTCAAATTCCATTTAATTTGGTTGATATAAGCTTAATATTTCAGTTCAACAAAATTTCAACATAAAATTATTGAGTTAGAAATGTTTTATCTTGCATTAATTTATAATCCGCCAGATTCAATTTACCTAAAATTTTTTCCTCATCTGACTGCTTATGCAGGGGTTGGTGAAAAAGTTAATGTTAATAGAATTTTAATGCCCAACACTGTGTTCCAGATGTTAATAATAGCAATGGTTTTTATTCTTACTGACATATTGGAAACTCATAATTTGACTTTTGAATAATGGAGATGCCACGCAGTTACTCATTCTTCTCAATCAGCATAAAGTGTTCCAGATTAATTCTGGGAAATGATTCTTCACCTAAGATTATTCGTTTTGAGGTTTGTAGATTAACTAATAGGTATGAGCGATCATCTCCCATTCTTTGCAAGAATGTATCAATGCTTTTAAATAACAATAATTTTTAAATAGATACAATACTAAGAAAGCTAATTGGCCTTTGTTTTATGATTGCTTAGCAGATATGATGGTCAAAGCAGCAGGTTTGTCTGTCATCATTTTGTTCTTAGATTAAAAAATGCAGTAAGCCAACAAGTCAATTCCGGTAAATAAGAAGAAAAGAAGCTGAGGTAATCCTTGGTGGGATAAAGATTGTGTGATATAGCCTGGGAAAGTAAACGAGCAGCATTTAAGACGTTTAAAAGACAGTTTACGGAGAAGAATTGCATATACTTTTCGAAAGGCTGAGCACAATGTCGAAAAGTTCTCAGAAAGAAAGTTAAGGTTTAATAATTATTGTAGTAGTCTATCTCATTAACACCTATTAATGAGGTTTGGTGTAAAATAAAACGTTTTTCAAAAATCAAATTAAATAAATTTCGTTAAGAAAACCTTTGAATTGTTCCATTGCTGAAAGATATGCTTGCCCTTTAGCGCCCCAATTATTCCAGATGTAGATCCTGACATTTTATTTCAAAAGTGTCAAGTTCTAATATTTCTCTTGAGGAGACACAGGTTGCCATATTTAGAGAGAAGCAGAGATTCTGCTCCAGAGGCATTGATCTAATAACTTATTCCATGATCCAATAATCCTTCCTTTGAATACTTATTGGTATCATTCAGAAATTAATTCCAGACGATTGGAAAACAGGATTAGTTTGTCCAATTCTAAACCTAATAAAAATTTAAATAATATTATTAGCGGTTTACAGGCCAATTACTCTCACATCTTACATAAGGGAAAAATTATGGAAGGTATAGTGATGTAGATTGGATTGGTAATATGGAAAACCACAAAATTCTCAGTGATTCTCAGTTTAGGTTTAGGGAAAGGTAAAGGAGTTTTGAAGCATTAACTTCTTTATGTTTCATCGATAATTTCTGGACTCTCATATGTCTTTTCAGTAATTGTTTTTTAGATATGAAAAATGATAAAGTTAATATTTCTATTTTGATTCGTAAATTAGCTATGAATTGGGTATTGAAGAGAATATTTGTAAAATACGACTAAAGATACATACCAACAGGAAAATTTATATTATTTGATAATTTTCAAAAAAAATTTGATTGATCTGGTTTTACTAATAAGGGTTTAGCACAAGGATCTCCCTTTAGCTCAATTTTATTTAATGTTATATTAATAATGTTAGTGACTTTATTGGGGATGATGTTAAATTGTTCAATATGCTGATGATATTGCTCTCCTGGCTCAAGGTTATGATATAGATTTGATAGTTAATAAAATTAAATGTTACATTGAAGACCCAGTCTTGAGGAATGGGCGAATTAAATGAAATAAAGGTTTTTCTCCTAATCTTCCTATTTTAATTCAAAGAAAATTTTTACATAATCGTATTTTACCAGATATTAAATTTCAAAATCATGTTATTAGATGGGGTTAGATATGTTAAATATTTGGGTATTTTTATTGATAATCGGTTTTCTTGGAATCATCAAATTGAAGCTATGTGTTCCTAAAGCTACTAAGGGTATTAATTTAATGAGATATTTTTTGTAAAACCTGGTGGGGGGGACATCAATTACTATGTTAAATTTTTTCTAAAGTCTATTCGGTCACATTTAGATTATGGTAGTATATTATTAGCTAAATGTTCTAAAGATTAGAAAAACTTGATAAAGTTCATTTCAAACCTTACGCATTTGTTTAGGGTTTATGCGTTCTGTCCAACTAATATCATTTATCAGAATCAGCAGAGCATAATATTAGACGTAATTTTTGGCACTAATTGCTTTTAAAAGCATTCTCTATTCAAGGATAATCCCATTATTCAGTCTGTTACAGAAGCTTATAGACATATAATCAATCATTTGGTTTTGGTTAAGACATTATCATGTTCCTCCTCTTATTGAAGGCATTGATCCAAATTTTTTCCTCATGTTCAAGATGTTGATGTTGTTAATATGCATCATTATTATAAAGTTTCCTCTTTTTTTAGTAAAAATGAATATTTAAGATTGTAGTTTTAAATAAAGTGAAACAATTCTATTAAATTTAGAGAAGTTATTGAGTTAAAATTTAAACAAAAAATTAAAGTTTTTTACGGACGCTTCTAAGGAGTAAATAAAATGTTAGATGGGTATATTTTGCCCGGATTTAAATTTGGAAGCCACCTATACTTGATTCTGGATATGCTTCCATATTTGTTGGAGAAATGTTTGCTAATATGATGGCATTGAATGTAATTGAAAGCAAAAAGAATTGGAGGATTCTGTAATTTTAGTGATGAGTGCTTTACGAGCAGCTTATCCAAATTTTAAGGACAGTCAAATTACATTTGCTACAAAACGTAAACTATTTGAGTTAAGAGAAAAACAATTTCAATTTCATTGGCATGGCTGCC